CACACACACACACACACACACACACACACACACACACACACACACACTTTGCACTTTGCAATTACTGTACACCTGTCTACCACATATATATTTCAATTTTTTTCTTTTTTCATTTTATATTTTACAAATATCATATTTTATCGCTTGATTTTAACTTGTTCACTGTCTAATGTCTGAGGTTCACACTTTTTCTTGCGTTTTTTTTCTTTTTGAAAATAAGTTTGAGCATTGTTAGCGGAAGCCTGAGATTCAAGATTTTCAATGCAATTTTTGTTTATATGACAATACAATCCATTCAGTATCAATACTGCGTTTCCGGTAGAGTTGGGTATACAGGCCAAAAACAAATAACAAAACAATAGGACAAGTCAAACATATTACAGTAGTCAGTAACAGTCGTAAAGATGCTCATGACCTACAAATAAAACTTGTGGCATAGCTCTCTAGCAAAACTATATGTCATTTTTTTGTCCTATGATTACATCATAAGAATGACCAATAATTATCTCGTGTGACTTGTTCAGTCTGTTAAGTTAATAAGTACATATCATACAGATTGCGATATTTCTGACAGCACTTGAAGGGATCACGAGTAACTGTGCACGTGAGTGCAGAAGAAGGAGGTGTCGAGCGCGCGCCCGTGGGCGGGGCCAGGAAATGGAACGTGTAACATTTCTCAACAGGTACAGGAGGACCGTAGGTAAATATAACTTATACTCACCAAAAACTCTCATAAATTGGTAATAAGTCAGTGCTTTGTCTGACCTAAAGTCTGTTATGGATGTTTGGTGTTATTTACAAGCAGCTGTTGTACACCAAATTCTATTCATATTTTTGATATTGTTAATATGGTTAACATACCCGGAACTGGTACACACCTGCAGAAAAGACGTTTGAGAGGCACGGCTTCAATTCGGCACTTCTGTTTACAAAAACATGCCTTATTTAGTCTAAATCTCAACATTTACAACCACTTAGTTTCTGGCTGAGTTACATCACAGTTTAACACGGCATTGCAGAGTGTGACTGTAAGGCAATAAAGAGATGTATGCTGGATGTATACGATGTTTTAGTCTGCAAAACTCTTAACACATTCGTAAACGGTAGATGTCACGTTAGTTTCCTGTTTTGTCATTTGCTAAAGGCATAAGAATGACGAACATAAAATGTATCCAAGCCTCCTACCACTGCAGAAAGAATGCATCGAGGCCAGATTACATCATTCCAAGTGGAGAAAGGCTGCAGATTAGAGAGCTGAAAGTTGGACCATTTAACAGCTCCTACTGGACAATTCTCAGGCTGTAGTTCAAGAGATGAAGTAATTCTGCAAGGCACCACAAGATGGTAGGATTACACCTTGGTGTGTAAGAAGGATGACCTCAACCTGCAACTTGAATATGTGTCCTTGTAGATGATTTGGTCCAGTTTTGTTCATTGTACCGCGTGAGAATAATCTGACATGAACTCAGGTGGTCCTTCACTTTGTCTCTGTTCAGAAGTTTCCTGGTCTTAATTTCCCCAATTTTCAGATGTTTTATGTCAGCTACGTTGTGTGGCAGCTTGTGATTCTTTGGAGAAGTTTGGCATTTTCTTTTTGATGGAAAGGGTTTTTTGTGGAGACAAATGTTTGTATTCCTCACCCAAGGTATCAGAGAAGGTACTGTTTTGCTATCCGTAGGCATTGTATTGCCATCCATGTAGAAAAAAATCAATCAAATTACCCATAAATGAAGGGGAATGCCACGCTGAAGGCTATGATTCCCCCTCTGTCCCCAGGTGGGATATAAAACATTCACGCACAGAGGGGGTTAAAAAAGCCTTTTTGTAGCTCCCACAGTGATATTGAGGAGATGTGTGTCTGCTTTCTGTTCAGACACACATCTCTAGTTTCTTTCGTTCTGTGACCACTCCTCTGCATTGCACTTACGACACAGTTCCCGTTGTTGTATTAAATCAAGTTGCCAAGTAAAACCAACATAACTGCCCACACATTCACATCAACTTTGGCTACCCTGAAGCTTAATAAAACGGTCAGACTATAGAGGCACTAACAGATAGTACGAGGTGTGAAGCACTTCGGTCCAGCTCTTGAATGTGCTTAAACATTTCTATATATGTAATACTATCTATATTTTGTTGGTTTCAGTTGGTACAGAAAAGCCAATTTGCCACCCTGCTTGTTGCTGTAAATTGCTTTTGTTCACAAGTCCTGGTTCAGTTGTAAGTGGGCAGTGTGGATGTGAATGCAATGGTTCAGAGCAAATAAGACAAGCTAGATATACGGCCACTATATTCCCCTGCAGATATAGACCCATTGGAGCTTAGTGTTGGAGTCTTATAGTCATAAAACCAACGTTATAGACAGCAGTGAGATTTTTTTTCTTCATCCTCAACTCACTCCGACTCTGAAGGGAAGTTTCCACTCTTCCAGTGCAAAGGTCTTAACTCTCTGTATATCAATTACTCCGCTGGGACCTCGTTACTGCCCCGCCCCCGCCCCCCCTTAATTAATACAGGAAATTACATTCCTATATTTATACCCCAATAACTAGACTGGCCTGCTGAAAAGGTCACAACAACAGTTTAGCAGTTTTCGCCCTATGGCAGTGCAGCCCAGGAGGATAGATGGCTGGGAGGGAAGCCAAAAGAACCCGAGGCAAAGGAGAAACTTTTTCTTTTGAGAACAGCAGAACTTTTTGTTGACCTTAAAGGTGTTGGAGTTTTCACCTTGCTGTTAACCAGCTATTTGTCATCATGTTTTCCGGGGGTTGTTGAATGAATCACTAGAAAACAGGCTTATTCTGAGCAAGTAGGTGACGGGGCATATGAGAAGGATATTTAATCCAAAGCGCCAAATATCAAGAGAAAATGACATTCCCTCACATTTGGGGGGTCTTCCACAGACAAACGTTGTCCTGAGGGAGGGAGGCGCGCACGTTCACAGTCATGACGGCTGAAATACTCTGCTCAGATCCTGCTCGGGTGAACTTTAATAGTCACGGCAACACTTTTCCCGTTCATAATCGTCAGGGAAATAAGGTTTTGAAATTCAGGTTTTTTTTTTCTGGCAAATCTTGACAGAAAATCGCAAAATAACTTTGATAAACAAATAATTATTTAAGCCGAGCCAAGTATTTGAAGATTTCCTGCTTTGCTATATGTTATATCATGCAAATTAAATATATTTGGATTCTGAACTGTTGCCGGGTGAAAACAAGCAGACTACACCTTTTTTGTTTTTTTCAGATATGTTTTCAATCAACTGAAAAAAACAATTGACTGATTAATTGCTTATAAAATATATTATGTGTAACTTTCCTGCTTTTGTCTTCTCAGTGTGTAGCGGCTGATGTGTTTGCAGAGTAATGGGACTGTCCAAGCGAGTGTCATCGTGGTCGGTGGAAGAAGTGTTGGCGTGGGTGCAGGACCAGCACCCAACGCACATGGGCACGCTGCAGAAAGCCATAATTAAGCACGCCATATCAGGTACAACTCAACGCATTACATTCAACTTAAATCAACCTTTTTAGTTTTAGAATTTGTGAAATCCAACCCCTCTCTCTCACGAGGCCGTGCATTGCTGAGATTAAAGGATCATCACCTGGAGCTGCTCGGGTTGGAGGCTGAGGAGCAGCAGCAGGAAATCTGGCAGGACCTCCTCCTACTCAGAGTTCAAGAAGAAATCAATGAACTCAATGACATCTGCTCTGGTGAGAATGCCAAATGACTTCATCTTCAGGGTGTAGCTGTGAGCTAAACTAGTGAAATAGTAGATTGTTATTGTTGGTTTTCCTTTGGTGATGTGGACCAACAGGTAATATGCACGTGAATTCACAGGAAATCAAGCAGGATATTAATGATTTTTTTTGGTTTGTTTTTTTCCGCTCACAGTCGAAACTATACATTTTATTTTCAATCAAAAAAAACCCCAGCTGCTAACTAATATTTGATTTGTACTCTTTCCTACTCTGCAGAGTGTTTTTCTTCATAGCTGGAAATGAAACGCGGCTTCCTTTTTCATTTCCCGTCCATTGATTTGTCCACGTGAAGGAGGGAGAAAAGTGGGAGTGATGGAAATAACAAGAGAAGGTGAAAGAGAAAGAAGAATCAATGCAGAGAGAAAGAAACCCATTTCCTGTGTGAAATCTGACCTGTGCAGATGGATTAGATTCGTTTTTGTCTGAGCGTCTTTTTCTGGGCCCTGCTAATAGACCCTTCTCAGTCGTTTTGACATGTAATTGGAGGGTAAACATATGTGTATTAATAACATTAATTATGGTCCCGTTCTATTTAGTGTGTCAGTCATCCAGCGAGCCAGCATGCACAATAACAGGGTCCTCACCAAAATGGAACAGGGCCATAATTAGCTTTATCAATTACACCTGTGTTTACCCTGCTATGACATGACAAAACGGCTGCAGTGAAAAGGGCCTTTTAGCACATGTTAGCGGGCGCTAACACACCAGACAAGGTACTGAACATGGTAAACATTATAATCGCTAAACGACAGCTTGTTAATGAAGTGTGAGTTATGTATATGGTGACACCTGCCAATTAAACTAAGTCAAACCTCATAAAAAACTTTATTAATTGTGGACATGTGATAATTTGTCTAATAAAATCAAAACAACCGGAAATATTTAATAATCAATAATAAACAAGGTTGTAAATGTAGTAGATCAAGTGTCTACTACAGGGCACTCTACTAAGTGATTACACTTGTTAATAGGAAAACTGAATAGCTGCGTTTCCATTTTAACATTTCTATGTGTTGAATACAAACGTCCAACTTCTCGGTCACACATATATGCTGACTGAAAGTTATTGTAAAATCTGCTGTTGGTTTAATCTCTCTTTGAAATATCTGTCCTTGTATTTCTGACTGAACACCATAAACAATGCATTGTTTATCTAAAGTTCTAAAGTTAATATTGAACAGAGTTACAGAAAATCCTCTAATTTCTCTGGATTTTGATGCGGTTTTGTTTTTGAACATATACTTGTTAATGTGATTAATCCTGTTTTAACTGGCTGCAGCTAACAACTATAACATGTGAATGTCTTAAATACAAGTGGTCCTGCAACTTTAATTTTATATAATGCTCTATTTCGTTTATTTGTTATGTTAGCCTCCTTTTAATGTGTATTCTAGGCATCAACTCCCCTCCACATTTGCATCGCATACAGTAAAAGGTCGTCTATTTCTGAAACATGTTTTCATGGCAATGCTACAGCATGTTTGGATGAATTAAAAGTGCTGCTTTGGCAACCCAACCCTCTCACTTGTGTGTCATCGTTCTGCTTTTACAGTTCCAGCATCATGCCTCTCGTACACATGCAGTGTTCCACTGCAACATTTCTTTTTTACTGAAGAAGCCTCAGAGACCGCTGTGAAAGATCTAGGACTATTCAAATTATAAGGTCATAATAATAATAAAAAAGAAAACATATTACTCATATTGACTCCAAAGACAGCAATTGTAGTAATGAAAAGCGCAATAAAAAAGATGTAATCAAACTACATCACGTTTGTGGCATCATTCAAAGAAAGTTGCACTCCTTATTACACAGTGACACTTTAGCTACACCAGTTTTAAGAAAACAAAGTGAGAGAGATTGGTATTTCAAGATATTGTGAGGCATTCAGGTGACCAGGTTTACACCCAGCTCAGATCTTCCTGTCACTCATCACTATTTACTGGCTAATGAAGGCAAAACGTTAACCTTAAGTGGCTTATAGGTTGTTCCATACTGTCTTCATCCTATACTGCCTATAAACAGCTTGTTCAGCTCCTGATTGAAGCTGTATGATGTTAACACTGAACAAAATACTAAAATGTTATTTAGTGCTGCACCAGCCGATCAACTGGAAATGTTCTGAATCATTCGGAAAATCATTTTACACACATTTACCCCAAATTCAATGTTGGGATCTCCACTTTATTTTGCAATAAAGTTCTGACCAACGTTTAGCTGCAAAGGATGAGTTTGGAAGGACTGACCTGCTGGGGAATCAGTGAGAAACAAAGAAAAAAGACAATTATATGATCTGTATATAATTGCACAGATGCACTCAAGACTCTCACACACACACACACACACACACACACACAGGAACGCTGTGAAGGACAAGCCACAACATGTCTGTGAAAACTTAAACCGGCTGAGTGCATGTTCACAATTATATGTTTCCAGAAAAATAAACCCATCAAGTGACCTCTCCTCTCCTTTTCTGATGGTTGCTGGGCCTGAATGTGTGTGTGAGTTTGATTAATACCCCAGGAGATGGTGTGACATTTGATTTTGCGGGGCGTGGCCAGGGAAGCGCTCACTCAGCACAAACGTAAATCCACCTTACTGAAAGAGTGATGGGGGGGTGATGAAATACACCACTGACCCTGACGACAGAGCCAAAAGCAAAGCTCAGACACTAAATACACAAATGCAAATGATATGTCCTCTGTTAGAAAACAACATCACCAGAGTGGTTGTATGCAAAAAAAAACACAATAGTGAAAGAAAATAAATGCCCATATATTATGTAAATGAGTTAAATGCACCATATGTATAAGTATATGGACACCTAAACATTACGCAATATAAAAACCCATTAACATGAATCCCCTCTTTTGGAAATGCTTTCTGGCTGCAGGGATTTGCTCCCTTTCACCCCCAGCAGCATCGGTGCGTTTTACCTTACCAAAGAGGCATGACCAGAAAGCCTCATTTGAGAAAAATTAGGGGGAGTGAGCGTCTTCTGGCTGTCTGGCTGTCATGGGATGCAGCCTAGGTCTGGTCTGTTTAACAAAGTAATGTAAATGACTGCAAATCATAGCCATGCAAATCTTGCAAATGATGTGATACATTTTGTTATTCCTGTGAAACAAATATATTCACACATTTAATGGGACAGTCAGCTAAAAGATGCCCACTTTTGATGCTGTGTCACACCCCACTGGTGGGGTGTTACGTTGCCCTATCCCTGTTTTCTCTATTAGAGAGATAAAGGATCGAGGGGAAAATCCACAAAAATCATTTTTTCATTGTTCCATACAACCAGGCCAACAGTGCAGCTGTGATTGCGACCCGGCGTCCCGCATTTCAAACAGGCGTTGAAAGTCAGCTGAGAGCCTCCTCCTCCTCCCTCAGTCCATCAGCGTCTTCCAGCCACAGCAGCCTCTCTGTCACTGTCCTGTGATTTATTCATAGACCGGGGAAAGAAAGATCCATAGTTTCTGAAAGAAAAATTAGTTTGCGTCAGGTCGAAAAAGAGAGAAGTTCAGTGTAAGTTCAGAGGGGATGTGAAAGTTTAGGAGGCCATGCCAAGAACCTGCTGCTCACTTGACTTTACGGCATTGCTTGCACATTTGACTCCTAGCTGTAGGCTAGTCATTTGAAAAGTAACATTACCAGCTCTACTTATGGCTCCCTGTGAGCGTTAATTTGTTGCATTTTGTTTCTGTTGCACTGTTGAAAGTACCCTGAAACATCAGTTGGTTTCCTCCTCTGTGGAAGCTGCTGGAGGTGACAAGGATTAGAGAGTGACATTTGTATTCTTGGCTTGCTAGTTTGCAAACGTGGACTGGAGCTGCTGGCAGATCCAGCTAACGCGGCAGGGCACAAAGCTAACTTAACACTAGCATGGCTAACATTATATTATTCAAGTCATGGTGGCTGAATGTAAAAGACGGAAAAGTACTGCTGTTTATCTCGTTTGGGAGTTTTCATGCATTATTTCTAAATGCATGGCTACCGCTACTGCTAGCCTGCTAGCCCAGTCACACCAGATAAAACTAGCTATTTAATATCATTGAACAATTGAAATACAAGTGACATTTTACAAACAAATTCAAACAAGATTCTATAACATTGAATTTTACTTTAGATGTAGCCATTATAGTTTATAGTATCTTTTGTTGTCCTTTGTCTCAAAGCTAACATAACATTGACTTTTTTTGATTGATTATTTAAAAATCCTTACCCATAGAGGTTCAAATAAGGAATTTGTTTTACATTGTTTTTTTTATGGGTTTTTTTTTCGTGACTTTTTGTCATTTGAAGCACCCCTTGTGCTATTATAAAATCACATGTGAACTAAAAAGGTAGGCTCAGTAGAGTGCATATGTCACCTTCAGCATTTAGGCATCAAGTCTATTTATTTGACAATGCATGTGTAAATGCGAGGTTGATGGCCAGAAAGTCACCGATGTGCAACCGGTGTAGTCACGTTAGCTGATAGCTGAACACACCCTCCAAAACCATAAAAGGGGGCAAACTCTTTTCCCCATAGACGTACAGTCTATGGTTTCCCCCCACTGCCAGAGGCCGCACAGCGGCGGATGGGGTTCGGTGATTCACTCAGCTGTGTCATCACTAGTGGCCCCTACCGCTCGGGGGGCCAGTTAAGAGTAGTGGGTGAGGAGTCAGCAGGCAGTCAATGGCTGTATAAAAACAGGCAATAAAAGGTGTTTGGTGAAAGTGTGAGTCTCTGCAACCACGAGAGGTCAACTTATTGTGTAGTTTGCTGCAGCAGAATGTCACTCACTTACTCACAAATAGTAATGCTATTGCATTTGCTATGGCAGAGAAGCATTTGTAACACCCAGCCTTACAATTCACACACACAGTGTGCATATGTGTGCGTTTGAATACAGTAAGTGTGCTCACATTTGTGCATACATCCACACCTCTTGCCGTGTGTGTGTATGTGTGTGTGTGTGTGTGTGTGTGTGTGTGTGTGTGTAAAAAGTGAAACTATGACTTGAGAGCAACCAAATGTTACATTTCAATTTTCTTGGAGTCTGCGCTTGTTTAAAAATCAATCCTCCCCTGGTAACCAACTGTAGAGCTACAATATGTGTCCGACAAATATCTGCCTGTATGTGCTGCATTTGTTCAGTCCAGATGCAGAACGAGTAGGTGGTAGAGTGATTTTAGAGGATGAAGTTTCAGAGCCTGCAGCAGTCCGTCCACCCTGTTGTGTTCTTCAGCAAAACATTCTAACCCGCTCCAAGAGTGAGGCTCGAGGTGAGTGAACCTAATTGAAAGGTCGAGAGGCAGCAGCTGACTAAAATGATTGAGTATAAGTTTAAGTTCAAGTATAAGTTTTGAGTGTTGTTTTTTTATGGTGAAGTTATTTCAGTATTTCTTTCTGTCTCTCAAAGTCACTTTTCTGATGATTATGATGAGAATAGACGCAAGAATATTATTAAGAAATAGTTTGACAGCAGCTTTCATTTAGAGTATCATCCACTAAAAAGATCACTTTAACATCCCTGCTGTGACG